CAGTACGTAGTCAATAATGCCCCATTTCAGAGGTACTATTCCTACAACCTTACTCCTTACAAGTAATGTCAATCGAACATTATATAAATCGACAATGTTCAAAATTAAATACGAAAATATCAATTTTTATGAAACAGGCTCACCTCGTTACATCGTGGCCTTACAAGAGATCCTCCTCCGTCGCTTTTGCGAAGCCTACAAGCGATCTTCGATATCCGTGAAACCTATGAGAAGATCCATCACCTTCCTATGCGTACATCTTAAATTTTTCTTGATTTCTTCTTTCTCTTCTAGCGCCAGCCTTTTCGCGATATATATCTGCATCTAGTGCTGACGCTCTTCGGCCGCAGCAACTTCTTAAACACTTAATCTCGCAACCTGTTAACTTAGAGATAAATGCAGAACGTCGCAGTTGATACCTATCCTATGGAATTTGGTCTCTTCTTTCATTAAAATTTAACGCTATCAATGTATACCCGAAGATATATCAAACGATGCTTGCTTTTCCGCACTGTCCACTTTAACTTACACGCACTGTCCACACTGAACCGGTACCTTGAGGTCATGTTATCTCATGCAACAGCGGAGCGAGGTAGCACGCTCTCACCATATCAGGTATTCGTGGGCTTCGTATTCATAAATTCTTGTCTTATCGGCTAAAAATTGTTTGCGAGCTTCGGGCAGAATCGTGCGTTATATGCGCACTAGAAAGTGGGACCCCGGCTTTAACTTGATTTTAATATTTTGGGAATGACTTACTGGACGCTACCCACCTCAACTTTGCATGTGCTATCTTCCTAATCATATATTTGCGTCGTTCTTATCTCCGTCGATAACTGTCTTGATGTAATTTCGTTCTTTTCCCAGTACTGTAGCGTATATTCCTGCAAAAAGCGTGAGCTCCGCTCAGGCATGTTGATCCCAGCTCCGGCAGGCGTGGGTTGAACAGTGTAACACCCCATAACGCTTTTGCAATCGCCTGTTTACCGCGACAGCATTGCAACACGATAGGATGCCTTACTGTGATGGTCCTGTATCAGCCTGTAGGATCATAATTCTGCAACATGAATCGCTTGATCAAGCGTCTTCAGTTGTATGCTACATAGATGGACTTGACGGAACAAGATAGTGACCCTTCACAAATACAGGTGCCGCAAAGGCGCTGCGTTGTTGGCAAAAATGAAAATTTATCTTTACATTGAATGCCCTTAGCTCACGTCCTTTGTACGATGTTGCCAAGCCATCTAGATCTGTGCATCAAGACACATGGTTTCTCATCAGTGATTAATAAGTTGTCTCCTATGTAGTCATACGTACCCCTCATCATGTAAAGATCGCCAGGGGGAGTACGCGACGCCTGGGCAAAAGCAGTGACGAACGTCGATTAATTAATTGACTAACCTGCGACACAATAACGAGGTATCTGCTTACTTATCTGAGTTCTAAATCACGCTTGCCCAACCGTCTACAAAACCCAGAGGTTGGTCTTTACCTCTACAGTTCAGCGCGTGGCATTTCATTTAACCTTGACTTGGACTGTACACACGACACAAATTTATGTGAGGGTGAAAAGCTTGACTTCTAGCACCCACGATTGATTGCGTGCAGCCTATTCAAACATGCCAAAGTACACGTGCATCGCATCGTCTTTGATGCGACGAGTTGCGATGGCGGCGTTCAGCTCGACACATCGTTTTCGCAAGGAGTTCTTCTCGACTTCCTTCGAGTCGAAGTGTCAAAGAATCGGCCCGGAGCCGACTCAGATGCGTCGGCCCGATCAAAGTTGAACCGCTTGCTGTTGTCTCACCAGGACAAATCTTTGATCACCCTGGTTCGTTACCACCGTAAACATCTGACTACGAATATGGTTGATAAATTCATCCGTCCTCAGCTCTGACATTTGACTACGAATTCGAATATGGTTGATACTTTCATCCGTCCTTAGCTCTGACATCCGACTACAGATATGTACGATACTCTCATCCGTCCTCAGCTCTCACATCTGATTACGAATATGAATGATGAATTCATCTTGCATAACACCCATTGGGGCGTCCAGGACGCATCTGAGATCTTGTTGGCTGACGCAACGGCCTGCTTTGATCAACGAGTAGAAGCCGTAGCATACCATGCAGTAGACAGTCATCACATTGATATATCACGCACTGTCGATTTCGTGTAATGGGTCCACCTATTTACATTTTCTCGAACAAAAGATGTATTCTCATGTATTCTTATTTCATTCCGTTGACGCTATAACATGGAGGAGGTATCTTTGTACATACTCCGCATAGCTTTTACGTGGCGCGGGCTCTATGTCGACAAGAACAGGATCGAGTTGACTGGATCGGCGTGCCGATGTTGTCGCGTGGGACAGTGATTGAAAGCAGGGAAGGGCAAGATCACGTTTGTGTGTGTGTTTCCGGCATGACGTCATTTGCTGAAGTCTTGCGTATGTGTTTTCAAAGCGTCAACAGCAAGCTCTATGCCATGAACTGCCCACCAAGATTTGGTACATGTCATTTGCTTTTGTGACGTCTGAGGCCTCATGACTTTGCTGGACCACATTTGTGTCGTGGCAAGCCTTCGGCGAAGACATTTGTTGCAACAGAGGGACCATGCGTGCTGTCAAGCAGCAGGGGTAGAGCAGCGAGTCGCTTGGATAGTTACGAATAACCGGGCAACACATTTTCGTGTCTATCGATCTTTTCTCAAGGTGAGCTTTCAATGCAATTCCTACTCAATTCGTAGTTCATTGAGATTGCGAGCTTTGAATGGACGATGTCTTTGTACGTATGTACCCCTCACACAGACAACCTCCAATCGAAAGCTCGAAGTCTCGTTTCTGTAAGGATGGAGCCTCTTACAGAGAGGGGCGACTGTGCTACTACCAGTTTCACTCCTTGGCTGTGGTCAACCTCTTGAGGCTGTCCCCTGATACACTGATTTGGGATCTTTGCACCGTGGCATTCTGTACGTATTGCAACCACTTTGAGTGCAGACGGTCTTTCATATCTTTTCCACGACAGATAAAGAGCTGAAACGAAATTTGTGCAGCACAGAGGATGATCGCCGCTTCGCAGCTGACGACAGTGAATGCTGGAGTCGTTACAAAGGGTGACAGAAGGTCGCCTTTGTTTGCGCAGATGGGCAACGCTCTCTCGTGCTTCTTTATTTTCCATCCTACTGTTGATGTCAGATCTAGTATCTTGTGAGGAAGGGCGGAAGGAAGTCGATGACTGCTCCGTCCGTAGCTAAGTACCCCTTCTTTTTGGTAAAATCGACTGGTGGTCGCGGCGTGAGGGCGACGTCGATCATTTGACACATGCGGCACGTTGGTCGTCTGCTAGATCGGCCGCTCATGCCAATTATTGCTTACCTGGAAACTGCCGAAAATGGAAAAAAGTGTGCGGGACTTGCGGGTGAGCATCTCTGAATCTATGGAATGCATCGAGTCACTTTTTACGCGCAGAAGTCATTGCAAACACCGCCGTCCACGCACTGAATCATGACACTGTCGTATTGTGATATTTGAATTATTACATTGTGCCATCAGATTTGGCAATGGACAGTGAGTGAAGTGATGACAGCAACAGCAACAGTATATGTGCGATATCGCAACCGCCACAGTTCACATACGCACTCTCAATGACATGCAATGGATCCGAATTCATATATGTTAGTCAATTGACGCCTGGTAGTTTCGGCGCTATTGGCTCGTAATGACTTACTCTCCCTGCTGTAGTGTTGGTAGTCAAGTGTCGTGGCCAGCACTACGTCCACGCGGAAAACGCAACACACGAGCGCAAACAATAGCGACTTCTGTAAGTATTGCCGCAGGTGTTTGTAACTGCGCCGGGCACCGCAGACACGTGCGTAAGGTTGTGTTGAGTCTTGATTACTACCTACGAAGGCTTTGGATACTTGCGGACGATTGTGGTGGGAGCTTCGGTTACTACAGGTCTCGACAAAACGATGGGATGGGTCAAATGTCCTCGAAAGGAGAGAGTGTTGAACAAACTAGCTTTGACCAGCACATACGTCGCTGAAGCAACTCGAAAGCACGGACGATGCTGTGCCATTAATGCTGCACGTCAGAGCTTGACATACGAGTTAGTGCGCTCTACACCGCTATCAACGGTAAAGGTGCGTTCGAACGTCGCCTCGTTCTTTCGAAGAGAAAAGAGTGAATTTGCACCAAATGTCTATTGCCATTTTCACGATTGAACGAAGAAAGGCTGGACACAACTTCAAGTAGACCGTGCGTGCGTCGTCCACGACTCTACGAAAGTAGCGCTTCGCTTTTACTCCAGCTGAACCATGCGAGAAGTCTACCGCTCTATGCGATACCACAGCGCGATTCACTGCGCGTGGTAGTCGCACTAAACTTGTTGAGACGGAGTGCGCTCAGCGACAGTGCCGTGACAAGATGGATCCAGGAGTATCCATTCTTTCCATCATACAACAAAAGCGAATCGAACGCTCTAGTTGCACAGCCGAATCGTGTATGTGGCCCTGACTATCGACGTCGCTTCGCATGCTGTAGCGTGCGGTCGGTACAAGCTCCACGCCGAAACGCCTCAACAATGCATTGGGCGGCTCACGACTACTTTCACGGGTCGCAAAAAGCTGTTTGTCTCTTGAACCGCTGGTCCACGTTACGAGCTGTGCTTGCAAACAAACTGCGCGAAATGTTTTGAATTTTTGCCTGCGGCGGCGCTTTGCTCGGTAGCCGGTTTGGCAAGCCTGGTCTGGACAGCTGGCAAGTGTTATCGTTGGCCACGGGCGTCTCGTCGTGACGACCTGAAAGCAGGCCGTTCCAAGCATGTCGCACTGCGAGCTCCCCGATCTTTGTCTGCCAAATCTTTCGTCTCATGCGCTTCATTCACTCCTTCTCTCCGCCGTTCAGTCCTTCATTCCTCAATTCGACTCGGAGCGCACCACCCGACCCATGAGAACACTCGACCGCCGCGCAAACTGAACAGAGAGACGACGACAACATGAAAGCCAAGTTCTCACTCGCAGCGCTTGCCAAGGTGACCCGCGCTGCACTCAAGCTCTGGAAGCGCGTGGCCAAGTACACGACCACGCCACTGCTCAGTCAAGGGGTCGACGGGGACATGGCCATGGCCCAGGACTCTCGACGGGTCTTTGATGCCCGGGCTTCGAACGAGCAAAGGCCGCATATTGCGTTCGACGACAAGCTTAAGCTCATCACCCCCGACGAAGCGACCCTGTATTCGCCACCAGCGTCACCGACAAAAGTAGTGGCGCTCGCCAATTGGGAGACAGCACCCATGTTTGTCCTGGATGACCATTTGGGCAACGGGTTCCCCAAAGTGAGCGCAGATCGATTGCTCAACAAGTGCAACCCGTTCCTGTCGGGGAAGCGGAGGGCACGGAGTGACGACGACACGACGTCGGATGCACCAACGGCGTCGACCGACGGCTCGACAGCTCCCGAGAGCGGCGTCAAGATCCGAGACCTTGTGCAGGACGAGGTCGATCCGGTTGAAGAGAGAAGTTCCGATATTCAACGAGGGCTGAGGCTCGAGCTGAACGAGGTCGATCCGGTTGAAGAGGGTGGTTTTGATACTCAACGAGAGCTGAGGCTGGACGCAACGGAGGAGCAGGTCTCGCGTTCGTTCGATACGAGTGCGACAGAGAACGTGGTGTCTGCTAAAAAGCCGAGCAAGCGGACGTCCCTCTGGGTCTGCGTTGGCCACGGCCGATACATCAAACGAGGGCGTCACTTTCCGCGAAAACTCTGCCGATTGAGTCAGGCAAACGGCAAAGAATTCGTCGACAGTGCGATAGGTACAGCTTCTGATTAGACAGAAGCAAAGGCGAAGGACTGTAGTATCATAGTAACATACAAAATGCAATCGGTTGACCTGCTCTCTAGTGCAACGGGTTGAAAAAGCCACAAGGTGTAAGTCCTTTGTCTCATGCGTTGAATGAGCGTCAAAGCTTTCTTTGCACGTGTGTGTGTGTGTCCGGAAGCTGCTGCCTGCTCAAGCTTCAATCAGTACGTCGCACGAGTAGGCTCACGTCCAGCTCAGTGGTGGTGCAAAGGTGCAAACGTGATATATTCTCACGGATGCTGACGCAACAACAACACAGTACGGCCCGAGCTGTGGGGAGATACGCTCGAAAAGGCATGGCTGACATCATCACGGAGCTTTGTGCCCGCCGTGGAGTGACAGCGTGCATGAGTCAGCAATGGATTCAGCTGCGCCAGCATAGCAGAACAAGCCAGTGAACAGCGCTTCACCAGGCACGCGCACTGGCAATATTAGACGGCAAAATGTAGAACACGCGTGCACACGACGGAGGTCGTTTTCATCACGCAATGAACGGGGACAAATATCGCTTTCGACGTATCGTCATTGTAGTGCGAACGTTACTCGACAGAACGACGGGTCCGTTCGCGATTATGCTAGCAGTTTGCAAGGCTTGGAAGGACTGCGTAATGTCTGCTACTTGCGAACCTCTCGCGACCACGCGACCACCCATCGTGATCGGCGTCGTGCCGTAGAGCTTGAAGCGTGGAAAGGCAGCACTCACGCCAGGCTTCGCGGGAAAGCAGCTGCCGGCGGGTGATCATCGATGCGACAATAGTAGAGTACGACCTGACGTCAAAATCACGTGGCACGTGGCGTCCGTTCTGCGTGAAGAAGGAGCGAGAAGAGCAGAGAAAGCCAGAGCACTATTGCAGGATGTGGCAGCGATCAGAACGACAAAGCGCGTAGAAATCACAGCGCCAACGGGCGATTGAAGTTATATTTGGGGATATGAAACGCAGGCGACGGGTCAAAGAGAGCAGATTCGGGATGAGGAATACCGTCGTTCGAGGCCCATGTCTTGCCCGAGCCTTTTCTGCATGACCAAATGCAGCAAAGCGATCTCGAACGTTCGAGCCAACGTCCAGGTAGTGAACATGAGGAGCAGATTGACGTTCGATGCGACGACCAGCCGTGCAGATTGCGTGGCCGGTCCTTGCCTCGTGTCAGTCATGTAAATATGCGCGATGAGCGTGTAAATTTTCCCACCTGATAGTGATTGGAGAAACGTTTGTGACGCGGCTTTTCCTTGCCCGTTCGACACTGAGCCGATCGTCGTCCGCTCCCGCCAGCCGCGTGATCTGCTCCCAACGGGAAGCAGACTTCGTTTAGTCCAGCGCCTCGGGAAAGCCCAAAGGTATGCGCTCACATGGCTAGCGGTGGACGGGATTTGTGGAAGACAGGGGTGTTTGTAATGGCTGTTTTAACTCACGGCAGCCAATGACAGCGTGCGAGCCACAGACACCTCATTTCCGTGCAAACACTGCCGCTTTATCTTCTGGTGTGCAACCGATTGCATGCTACGACTTGATGGGTAGGTGAACGATACTGACCGTGGCGTCAATAATCGCCGTCCGATTGGTGTGATCTTGAAAATTGTGCATTAAACTGCCGGAATGACGTCATTCGGTCTCCATGCCGCCTGCAGCCTTCCAATGGCGTCACTGTCATATTACGCATGTAGCCTATAACTATTGCTGATGTTTGTTCAATTACCACGCACCTTTGATCATCTTACTTGACTGGCGGAAGGAACTGTGGTGTCACGTGAGTTCACGACCGCTTTTACATCGCCATTAGAAGTTTAATCTGCACGAATACAAACAAGATAATATCTATGACCATTGTACAAATAACTTGGTTTATTGTCGCGTGCCTTTTACTATAGTCAGCGAAAGAAAGGCTTCTAGCGAATAGTGGAGGGATTATCCATGATAGGGTTCATTCATGATAATGTACCAAAAAGCTCATATTGCTTGTACAGGCGATAACTTTTAGGCTGCAAAATAGTCCCAAGAACCAGCATTTGCTCTACAAGAATAAAATATCATAATTAACCACAAGACAAGGAGTTTAGGATGCATAGTAGGACTAAAACCGACATCAAATATACAAATAAATGTCTTATATCATGTGCATATTCATTCATCAATATACCCCACTTTCAACAACAACGTGCATATCCACGCATAGTCTTTGCAATTCCTTTTGTCAACTTGTGTGTCAAGTCTCTTAGCAAAGTGGCCTCATATGCCGTCCATTTTTGCTGTCATTTGATGGAATAAACGTATTACGTTGTCATCAGTAGTAGTATTGGATGTCTTTCATCTTGCGTCTGTAAGATCGTCACGTTGCGCTTAATCCTTTCATCGATGCTAAGCTGGTTCGATATGCCATATATGTGCCGCCACCCCCCTTGACAGTGTCCATGTGGAAGACGCAATGCGACAGCGCAGTGTCAAAGCGCCGCTAGCCCTAAAAGATATTTCAGAAATGACGTAAATGAGCCAATGAAGACGAGAACAACAAAGGCAGCGAGAGAAAACATTGTAGTGAAAGCTCATAGCATTGTATCTACTTCTATCGCAAGGCATACATTCAAATGTTAACAGACACATTGCGAAACGCACGCAGATAGAGAACGACATCACTATAGAGCATTACATTCGGTACGGAAAGAAGCTACTGGTAGTGGTAGTGATGGTGGCATTGACCTAAAACTGCCGTTTAAACAATGTGAAGATGGGTGCTATACTGTTGATCGCAGCGGAAGACATTTGCACACAAGCGTAGTTGTTATCTTTCGTTTTCCCGCAGTCCATCAAACATGTAGCGCCACATTTTGGCAGTTCTGTAAGCTACGCTTGAAAAAGCCGCTCTTCCTATATTACCCTGAAAGCCGATGTCTTCGTCGTACTTTTCTGTACCACGATGCTTCGATCATACGACGCGGGCATCAATAAGGAGTGACAAAAATACTTGCGTGCCTACAAATTTGAAGTGTGTATTGCGAAATTGCACGACGTTTATGGCCATTCCGTGATAAACTTTGACACGTATTTGCTACAGGCACGTGCGTGTTAATCGATCACATCACATCAATGATTCGTGCTTTTGAATGTTAAAACTCAGTAGCTCATATATTTTTGTAACATTGTGCTTTCACCACAATCTTTCACTGAAGTATCCTTTTGTAAACTAATGTATTTGTTTCATCATTCAGGGCATTTCATTTATCTAGTTTTATAAATAAATAAGAAACAATTAAAAAGTTAGCTAGATGCATATTAATTTCACAAAAAATCACCTCAAAATCATAACTAATAATGCGGCTTAAGAGAAAAATGCAGCTAATTATCGTGAAAGACAAAAATGCTGTACTGATGTGTACTATTCGGCTGAATATATGATGTAGAGATCGCAAGATCGCATTACGACACCTTTATGATAGTAGATAAACTGCTGTTGCAAAGCCTGGATAGACGCAGATACATTGTATATAAACTGTACAGCTCAACAACACATGTGTCTTCATTTGACGTGGTCACAGAGAGGGCGGTTCTCTAACTCGAAGCCTGATGCAATGCGCAACTACTGTACCACGGACTCGATGCGAACCGAGCGGAACGAGCCGCTACGCTTACTTGCATTATGTCATGCACTGCAGATAACGTCACGGCGTCGATCTGATTATCATGCATGCTGCAAAATCTCGACGAAATTATTGACACTGCGTGTTTATATGATGTAATTGAATTTAATATGATTTGATGTAAAATATTATTGTGTCCGAAAAACATCCGCGTATACGATCAACAACGGCTCCACAATCCCGCCAGCTCTCCAATACCTTGTCACTTATGATGCGAATGTCTATCGTTCGTCGTTTGGTCCCTCGAGTCGTCTTTGAACCATTGCCTTTAGCTTTGTCTACGCCCCTCTTTGACATAGCGTTGCCTTTTTCAAAAAATACTACGATACACAATACTGATCCGGAATTTTTGAGGTAAAAAGAGATGAAAGCTGCTGGGCCTTACAAATCATCTGGAAAAAAACACTTCTAGATCACCCTTGAAGCGGTATTTACATCATTGGAAAATAAATGACTGTCGACGGATACAGATGCTACTGTGAAATGTACAAACGGTGATTGGAATTGAGAAATTTGAGTAAATGTGCACAGCTGATCTTTTGTACGCGCGAATTCGTCATTTGAGAATTCATGTTTCCTGTTCTGATAACTCGACATAGACATTTCGAATATTATCTAGTGTAGAATTTTACTTCTTGTGTTTGTGACATTGTGTTATCGTATCTTTATATTTTGTAAGCGTATCTTGACGAATTGTCTTTTTATCTTGCAGTGCATTTTTTGCTTTTTAGGTGAACGAGATTATGTGGGATATTGTTTGCTTCATCTATGCTCTATTTGTTTGATATCTCTTTTTGATGTAGCTGATTTTACTTTTTGCATGAGAGCAATAGTTCGAATCTTAGCAGATGGTACCTCTGGTTACTGGCACTGTTTTTCTCCACTCCGCCCATTACACCATCATCGGCCTCTCGATTCTTCACTGCTTTTTATCGGTTCTTCGTGGAATTAGTAGGCATAGCATAATTCTCTGGTGTTATTCTAGCATCCTTGCCTACGATCATTCTCAATACGCACAAGCCATGCTTCGATAAAGACTTTCTCGCTTGATCGTGTTGGTGTAATGTGATCGATGCTGGAAAGTGGAGAAGTCGACAGTCTTGCATGGGGTGGAAGGTAAAAATCGACAAATCACCACTTTGGGGCATGAAGACCGACATCTGCATTGCGTTGGTGTGTCAAGCTGTGTGACTGCTTGAGGCCGCAAAACAATTCGACATCATCAATGGGTCGATAGAAATACATCGTTGGCATTGCGCGAGTTGCCAAACAATATGGAATTGCCGAAGCTGGTACCATACGATTGGTAGCAGCCCACAAGTCACCCATACCGACACACGTGTAATCGAGATCAATGTTACCCCATTTCCTCATCACTGTAGTATCACGAGCTCCACAAGCACGTCCTACTCTGACAAATCGCATCGATGTGTCTAGCTTTCAACAAAGCGTCTCTTATTTGGTGGCCTATACGCCACTACGCAGAATCAAGTTATAGCTGCAAGAAGGCAAGCTATAGCATTGCGGAGATCCTCCACGCTTGTCAAGGATACCGTATCGCTTCCAACGATGAAGGCTACCGGCAATCAGCTTCTTCAGCGATCGATAAGCCCCACCACGAACAACAACGACACCGGCGCTTCGCACGTTGCGCGGTGGCCAGTATCCAGTCTACAATGACAGGAACATGGTCTGCATCGCTTAAACACGCAGCGACTCGACGCTTCTTCCATTGGACTCACCAAATATTGCAGCACTATATCTCGACCGCATCGCACCATCTTCGGACCGATGTGCACGTCCTGTTTACATCGACAACGCCCTCGCACGATGCACTTGTGGGGTGAGCGGAACGACGCCATGTTACGGGAAGCGTAGACCACGCCATGTTACGGGAAGCGTAGACCACGCCATCTTGAAGTGTCACATGTTTCGGAAAGCTTGAGATATGTCAATATACAACGTCAGCAAAGCACGATCATCAAGGCACTGACACGATCGTGCAGTGAATCGATGACACGCCGATCTTGCAGTTTTCGCTCTCGAACGTAGGGAGCCCACAGTTTCTACAGTTCTACCACAACAGCTACCAATCCCGGCACTTCTTCCCTGATTCAGACGTATGAGCTATCGTGCCCCCTATTTTCATGTCAATCGATTGCACGAATCTCGCTCGATCGTGTTTAAAGTCGTGTGTAGCCAGGTGGGAAGTGTTTGCTGGTGTTGTGACCTGCTACAACCATCATTCAGATCTCGTGTGGGAGAACGTTTGACCGTGTCAATCAACGTCACCCGTCGGTAGCTGATTCTTTCGACGTGGCTTGGATGTTCCCTGCTCTTCTCACTAAATAGCATTGGCTTTCTCGTACGGTCCAGCCTTCTGACCTCACCGAAACGAGCACAAACCTACGAGTATCCACCATCTGTTCTTTACACGCCGCGTTTGTCACTGTCAATATACGCAGCTTGGTAGGCACAAGTTTCTCACTTCCATCGTATACGCGTTTCTTCTTTTTCTGCTGCGTACGTAATGGTCACAATCGCTGGTTGAGTAAGGTTGTGCATTTCTTAGCGCAGCTTAGTGTACTGATGAGAAGCTGAAAGATAGACGCCATTGCCATCGTGCTGCCAACTTAGCGATACATTTACGTGCAAATGCAGCATTTGCCATATGTATTCGTGCTCAGAATGGTCCAAGTTTGTACACATGTCGACTACTAGCGCGACAGCAAGACTCAGGTACTTTCATCGAGATTTCAACCACTCGTGTGGACAGGACAACTGGTTGTATCAATGTCGCGCTCACCCAACCATCTTTGTTAAGGTTTTTGAACAGAGCAGTAGAATCGCACCTGCGTGTTTTCTTCGCACTAGATACCTCTCAGCGATCGTAAAAGATCGCATCCTTCTAGACTAAAGCAGAGTTCGCTTGAGAGTACGGTCCTTTGTAGAAACTGAAAGCGTCGTGATGCCCACGAGACCTTGAACTAGGGAACTGATACGCGTGGCTACGATGTATAACCGGAGTTCGTCCGTGGGTATTCTCAACATTCGTGCTTGCGTGGAACTCGGATATGCGTGAAACTGAGACTCGACGAGAGCCAGGCGTGGCCAAAATGACAAAATCACTCGAGCCAGGCGCAATTCCTGAACTCGGTTGGGGCAGTAACGGTACTTCGCGTGATGTCTGTCCCGAGCTTGATCGATTTGTTCGTGAACTCGGACGTTGACACTCGTCATAGGACGCGATACTTCGCCTCAAGAGCGGGTGCTGGCGCCGCTGACTCGTTCGTCCACCACTATCACTGATAGCTTCGTTGTGTGCCAGAACCAATAGATGTAGCAGTTGCCCATACTCGACTCGAGTGCCATTGAGCTCGAAGAGCATCAATGCGACACTATTGAAGCGAAAGCGTGTCAAGCGGTAGCCAAGTACTGCCAAAACCGATCGCAGTTTGGTCACGTCAATCATACCAGTCTGCTGGGGGTCATAAGCGCGGAGTTCTCGGTGCAAGTCGATGATCGTGTAGTCTCGTTCCTTCAAACAGTCAAGCAAGGACGTGGCAAACTCCGACCGCAGCTCCACAATCTCGCTGAAATGCGAGATCACCTCACCCAGCGTGTTGGCGTCCACGCGAAGGATGCTGCAGACGATCACAAAGTACCGAAACATGCGCTGCTGAAACACGAACGTGTTGAGGATCAAAGGGAGTGGCACGACGATGGCCTGAAGCAGTCCGAACTCCTTGTAAATGTTGTTTAGGTCGTACACGGCACACTGGACAAGCAGAGCGATGAAGAACCCATTGAGAATCAGCATGAACATGACTGTGACGTGCCACACCTTGCGTGAGAAGAATCGAATGTGAATAGCTGGACTCTCAAGCTGCACCCCACTTAGGGTTCGGCTGATGCTGATTCCCGTTGTTTGCTGGTTGATTTTGCGGCAACAAGTCGCCACGAGCTGTAGTCCGACGTCTTTCCGCAGCAACACGTGACGTTCGGCATTGCGACTATCCTGGATCTCTTCCAGTACTTCGTGTACTCGATTCATGGTACTTAGAGCACTGTCTGCCGCTTCCGTCCGCGTTGCAGCAGCTTCTTCTTCCGCGATGGATTGAAGGTTGTCAACTAGCGTCGAATGATCTTTACTATAACCAGCAGCGACAAGGAGCTGGTGAACGCACGTGCGGAAGCACAGCAGCACTACGATGTGCAGGACCACTAGTCCCCAGGCGAATACCACAAACACTTCGACCAGCTCATGCTTTTCGGGTAGATCAACTTGCAGTTCCTTGAGCACATCGAGAAAACCGCAGAGTGTCCAAGCCACTGCAAGTAAGAGAACCCACATGGACGGCTCGACTTCAATCATGTGCGATATCTGGTTGGCTTGAGCACGACGAAGGTACTTGGAGAACGGGAAGAGCTGCGGCAGCCCAAAGCGACGTAGGAACAAATGACGAAGCAGTCGGCGCTCGACGACTTCCAGGTCAAATCCTTTCGTCGACTTGTTCGTCCAGCAAAACCATACCGGCGCTCTGGTTTGGGCCAGTGCTGCTAGTGGCGGCGTTCCAGCCGGCGGACGCATCGCGTTGACCAAGTCTTGCGCCGTGATTAACTCAATTTGGTCGGATTCTTTGTTGTGCTTGCGAAGCTGCGTGAAGACAACAATGGCTTGCAGAATGAGAGCAAGGGCAAAGATGAAGATGGTCAAGTCAGCCACTTGAAAAGCCAGCATCGTCTTGCTGACAGGGTGGATGCCTGGCACCTCCTTCAGCAGTTTGAGTCCAAGGCTCAGTAGACCAAGAGCCATGAGCTCTCGATACGCCTTCCGAAGCATGTGATGGTACTTGTCATAGCGAGAGAGTTTTCGCTCCACGTGGTGGAGAACAGCTTCGAAAAGGACGAGGCACAAGGCCAAGATGCTCAAGTGGATCAGCACGCGCCAAAATTCGACATCGACACCAACTCGGAACAGCGATCCGCCCTCCATTTCGCGAAAGGTGAAGTGAGACCGTCCTACTGGAAAGTTGAAGACGACTTTCACGTCGTGGTTGACGTGTCGTGTCCGTCCGTCCGTCCGTAGCGATGATACCGTACAATGTTATGTGACAGCTACGGTCCTTCTCCACGCCAAGACGACAGCCCCTTGCGCGTGATGTGTCAAGAGCGGAGGAACGAGGAGTTTCCGCCGCCCAAAACGCACTATCTCACGGTTGTAGCTTAGCTGGCCAGACGATGCTGAAACTCCAGCTGCTGACGCTAACGGATGAGACCGATCTTCTGATAACCAGTGTGAACAGACACGACCTATTTGAACCACGAAGTGTGCAACGCCGTGGTCTATTGAATCGTCGAAGCGACATCGTATCGATTCACATCACGAACGGGTCCGACATAGACGGGTTTGTCGACACGTGACTCATTCCGCCATCGTACAGCACGTGAGCGCGCTTTTGGCTATCCGGTCCTGCACGACTGCTTGGCCTGCACGATGCAAAAGTACTGAGCGTAACGTGCTTGTAAGAACAAAGCTCTACCCAAGACAGTCGCCACCCGCCTCAAACACGTCGAGCGTACCAGGCAGTCGGACTCGATCCGAAGACTGTCTCGTCGCTTGCCTATTGATGCAAGAAGCGATGCTAGCAAACCGTACTGATGCGATGTTGTTACAGTTTCTAGTTTACGCTGTCGGAGTTACTTTGGCTCCGGGATCCGGGACAGACAAAGCCGTCAATCGAGCCTGCCTCACGAGCAATCGGTCTCTATCTGTACCGCACTGTCAACTCGACTCGCTCTGCGCGCCATTACTGCACCCTGCGCAGTGTGTAGCGAGAGTCGCGACGTAAGTAATATTAGCGACACAAAACGTTTCGAAACCGCTGTGAAGATACAGTCCCATTTGTCAGTATATGGCAAAGGCCGCAGTTGATTAAGGTATGCTGACCAACGATAAGTCGTCGAGATCAAGTTGTCGAGACTACTGTTGGAAGCAGTATGATTGAGAAGGATAGCTATTGCTGCTTCTAGTCGTAGCAGTACCTCTCCAGGAAAGACATCTTGTCCGCATTTGAGCTCTAGCGCCAAAGGACCTGCGATCGCAGGAGTCCCGTCCCGACAGATTTGACTCTTTCCCAATCGCTTTGTGTGGTCGCACACACTTATACCGTCCGTCATCGAGCACATGCAAGTCGCGCGTCTGCTCTGACATATCTGTGTCGTTGTCGAAATATGATGAGACACTGTCCGACATTATCTCGTTCGAGGGCCTCAATGCGGCATTCTAACTTGTTCTGCTAAATTAAGATTTCCCTCCAACCAGTTGTCCACCGATACGTTCTAACCCCGGCAGGTTATTATTTTGCGCGTCCCCCGAGCTCGTTCTATGGCCGCTAAGAAAAAAGTGCTACGTAAATTTCAGCAAGGTCAATTTAACTTTAAAAATGACCTTTTTTGTGTTATACATGGGAAACTTACTCAAACCACATGTCCAGGTTATCAACCCTCACCCGGCTTTTACTTTACCGCAAAACTATATTCGACAATAAGTAAAAGCCAACGAGCCATCCTCGTTGGCTTTTACTTATTGTCGAACTAAATGTATACCACATGTCCACCGTACTTGTTCCATAGACGTGCCACCACATGGGACCACAGTAACAAAATCAAGGACGAGAATATCTACGTGCGTAATGTGGGAACTTACACAATGTTCAATGTGCTTCACCTATAGCACATAAATGTACTCTACACGCAGCTTGTTTCACAGGTCGTCGTCGATATTGCATTATTGACTTTGGGTTTGAATGAACTGTTGTGGCTGCCGAGCCATGTGAACCTATGACTGAAGTGTAAGTGCGACGAAATGCTGCTGTAGTTGAAACAATGCGGTGGCTTATATTATGCACTCGCCAGATCAAAGCTCGGTGGTACCAGCAATAGAGTTTTCACTGTTGACGCTGCTTGGCCTTACGATCATTTATTGATGTGGAATCGTTTTCCAGAATTGCGCTGTAATATTCATATTGTTGCGCTTTCAGTAGGTCGAGCCAGAATGTGGTTCAGATTTATTACGCATGCTATCATGTATCGTGTGACATGCAATCATTTTCTGGCGCTACATCTGTAATGAGGCACAGGTGGCTTCGCACTGACAGCAGTGCATAGCAAGCTCTCACTGACTGCAGCAATAAATAGTGCCCTGTTAGATGGCGTACACAGCGTGATTAAGTGGAAGGCTCGGTTTTAGGACACTTAGCTTAGTAAAAGAATGGGAAAGTAAATTAACATATCTGGGTCTTAAAATGCGTCTGGTCCTGTTAGTCCTGTCTTAACTAAACTATAATAAGCATGTATGGTGACGTCTACTCGCCACCCGTTGCGCGCGTCTAGCAGCGATTAATAAGCAGAGAAAATGATATATCAACCAATGATTGAAACCTTGGGTCACTGCAACAATACCACTGAAATTAGTGATACTGTTGTGAGAATATTCGACTTGATATTATATATTATTATAATTGTTGTAAATGATAATATTAACGTAACAGGATCATTTGTCACGACCTCGTTCTCGGCCTTGATCGTTAGTGTCTAGCAGAAGCCGATATCGCATACAGCGTACTTTATTGCGCTGGCAAGGCTAGACCGGATCGGTCTGTATGTAAAACTGGAAGCACGTGAGGAAGAAGTCGATGATAAGATTCTGTCTATCACTTGCCATTTCCTGTCTTCTCGCTAGCTATCACTCCGCTTCAGTCATTTTCCTCGCACGCTTTCTTCACTTATTCTCAGAAATAACGGTTGGCGCTAATCGCCCTGACTCTGTCCTATCGTATCACCGTGAAACTGTCATGACCAGAATGCCCTCTTTCCTACACTCCCCCACGAGTGCGCCTCCGTTTCTCCATCAGACTTCTAGCACATGATAACAATGCGTAATAGACGATCATGTATCTCTCTCTCTCTTACCTCTTTTCTTCTTTTAATCGACCAAGATCGCCTATGCGCGCGCCTCCACCACGTCGCGCACTATGAAGCATCCATCTCGCTCCTCGGATACACCACGATTGCTTGCCCGTCCTTAAGCTGCTCGTCCAGCTAGCCCAGTCTCACCATCCGTCGAAGCACCGCGAGTTTCGTCGCGTCTAACGCTTTCGTCAGCAGGTCAGCAAGCATGTCCTCCGACCTGAGATAGCGCGCAGCAATCACACCGCGGCGCGAGTAGTCGCACAAGAACTTATACCGCACGTCCACGTGTTTCGCTTTCAGCGACGAGGCCTCGCCAGCGATCTGACTCAGCGCAGCTTGGTTGTCGACGTGCAACACGAGTGTCTCATCAGGTACGACGTCGTTCTCGCTGAGCATCTCGCGGAGGCCGAGCATCTCGCGCGCCACCTCAGAGGCAGCTACGAACTCGGCCTCCATTGTCGACAGGGACACTCCGCCCTGCTTACGCGCGCCCCAGCTCACTGCCGTCCCGTTCAAGAGCAGCATCCCGCCCGTCATCGACTTGCGATCGAGCTTATCGCTTGCAAAGTCAGCGTCGCTGTATGCCTGCAGCGCTGGAGGCGATCTGCCTTCTCGATCTGGCTCCATTGTGAGCTTGAGTTGCGCGGTCCCTTTCAGGCAGCGCGATCCTCTACTCCAACTTCCATTCTATCACGCGCGGTGCGTGCGTATGGCGGGTCGCTTTGTGGGCCGCGAAGCTGATGTCTGGCCTCGTGGATCTCGCCACCTACAAGAGCGACCCTATGAGCGACTGGTAGACGCGAATTGGTGGCCCTGTGATCGTGTCCTGTTCGCCAAGTAGCGTCACGTCGCCATCTTGATCGTCGTAGCAGTCGTCGCCAATAGGTGCGCGCGTCGAATTCGCGTCCGTCAGCCCATTCACGCGCAGCAAGTCTTCAGTTGCCTCCTCCTGATCCAGGCGATACGACCCGACCGCTCTGAGCTCGATTCTCAATCGAAATTAGCTTCCTTTTCCGCCTTAACGTACGCGTTGGGGATGTCGCCGTGCTTGACAGGCACCCCCCCCACGTAGCCGCAAGAGCGAAGATACCCTGATAATCGACAGGTCCATCACTACCGCAAACGTCAAGCTGTAGTCGACACCGAAGACTTGCTCGTAGCCGGAAGCCACTGGCCGAGCTTTGTGCCGCTCCAGAATCCTTTGGGCATCCGTCTTCGTCTTGTACACCCATTTGGTGTGCAGCGCATTCATGCCCGACGCACGCCTCTTGATGCGGCAGACGTCATTGTCTTGTAACGCGGCCACTTCTTCCTCCGTCGCGCGCTTCCATTCGCACCGCTTCGCGCTTTTCATTGCATCGCTATAGCTCTTCGGATCGCGCTCGTACGCCGCGGTCACGACCTCACCGCTGGCTTGCGGACCCTCCTGTTGCGCTGTCTCATTCGCGCGCTTTGATGCTCCGCGCGTACCGTGCGCTTGTCGCGTCCACGGCTTCTTGCTCTTCGCGCGAACCGCGCCATCGACACTGTCGCGTGTCACTGCTGCTTCCACCTCGGCCACTGCTTAAGTTGTCACGGGTTTCGTCACTGTGTCATCCGTCTCTTCGTCGCCTTCATCGGTCATCGCGCGCTGCAGCTGCATGCTTTGCTTGTCCGTGAGCGTGTCGACTCCTTTGATGTGCTGTGTCACGATCACCTTGTTGTCTTTGCACAGGTAGACTTTGTATCCTTTTGTATCCTCCGCAATGCCGACGATCGTGCCGATCTGCGAGCGCTGTTGCAACGCGCTCTTGCCAGAGTCGCGGTACACGTGACAGTGCGATCCAAACACCACGATCTTTCGCAAATCCGGTGCCACGCCGGCGAGTACTTCGAGTGGCGACGCTCGCTTGTCGTTTGCTCGCGACGGACTGCGGTTGAGAATGTAGACAGCGTAGAGTACTTCGTCGCCCCAAAAGTTCAGTGGCAGCGCGCACGCAAACATCATGCTGCGTGCGAGGTTGAGGACCGTCCGATGCATTCGTTCGGCCTTGTCGTTCGACGCCTGGTTGCGGAATTCCGAGATATGCCTGGTGGCGCCCGTGCGCTTGCATAACAAGTCGATGTTTGCGTACTCGCCGCCGCCGTCAGTGCGCAACACGTGAATGCGGAAGCCGAAGCGCTTCTTGAAGTGCACGAGGAAGGCCTCAAATTGCTTTTTCGCCGCGTCCTTCGTCCTCGCGAGGAAGATGCGGCAGTAGTTGGACTTGGGGTCCACAAATCTGACCAAATAGCGGTTCTGTAGCCGATCCTGCGGCGTCATCGGACCTTTCAAGTCCGAGAAGATGACGCCGCCAATTCGATCGATCGGCGAGTCCATGCCCCTGTCCTGCTGCTGCTGCGCGTTTGTGTCTGCTTTCCCTCCATACAGGATACGCACGCTGCACGCCTGCTGCTGGTGATCCGTATACCTGATGCTGGCTTTTTTGCCATGCGTTCGATCGTGTCGAACGCGAGATGGCTAAAGCGCTGGTGGACGTGCAGCAAAGTCCATTCTTGCACATCGCCCGCGACGTCGGTCGCGTCGTCGGCCTCTAGCGCTGCCATGATGGCGTCATGCGAGCCACTCTGACGTATCGCGGGCCTTCTTTGCACATAGAGCACGTTGCTCTCCATCGCTATGTCGAAAGCGATCATGCAATCGCTGCGTCGAGTTAGAGTGCGCCGTTCTCCGTCATAGGCGAGCGCAAACCTTTCTGCTTCAACTTGACGTATGACACGATGCTCTTCGCCAGACATGGAGCCAGGTAGACTTCCGTGAGAAGCACAGTCTTCTCGACGCCGCCTGCCAGCACTTGCAGTTGCACACTGTCGCATCTCGTCAGTCGCAGCGACTCGCCGTATGCCATGGCGATCTCATCGCTGCACAATTTCGAGTCAACAAGCAGCTGTGAGTAGCTCACGAAGTGGCGACTCGCGCCGCTGTCGAGGATCCAGTCGTTACGATCACCCGCGTTCGCGCCATTGACCGCTAAGACGAGCTCGGTCTTCTTTCTACCGCGGCGCCACTTTTTTGCGCGCGCATGCCTCTTTGTCAACGCAAGCGGCCCATTTCCACTCTCAGCACCACCTATCTTCGTCTCGGTCAATGCGAGCAGCATGTCGCCGCTCCCAGCATCGCCGCTTGGCTTCTCGCCGCCACCGGTTCCCTCCGATGGGCAGAAGCGCTGCACATGCCCTACTTTTCCACAGTGGTAGCATGTGCGCGTATCTTTCGTCGTGTCGACGTGTGCAGCAGTGACCTCGCGGCCTACTGCGCCGCTAACGAGCTCGATGGACTGCGCAAAGTGCGAAAGTTCCTCTGCATGACGCATGTAGTCGACCCGACAAGGGTCGTACTTCGCTCTCATCACGTTCATCAATTCCGGCGACGCGTGATGAACGATTTTGTCGAGGACGAGTGAATCCGCTCCGCCACGCGCGTCGCTCACCGCGACCATGTAGAGGTAGTGCTCGACCCAGGTACGTCGCGCCTCTTTCTTTGCCAAGAACAGCTTCATCGCCTGACCCGCCTTGATCGTTGTCTTGAAGGTCGCGAGGAGTTGCTCCATCACGTGTTCGAGCGTCGGCCGTTGCGTTCACTAGGTATCGACCCGTTTGTGGTAGTAGCGCTCCGCCGTGTTGGACAGGAAATGCCAGAAAAAGTCAACTTAAACATCCTCCGTCCAAGCGAACGCGCAAGACGCTACCGCCAAGCTCACTGCGCGCAAGAAGGTACGCCCCCAGCTAAAGAAACCGCTGCCGAGCCCTTTGTATCGTTCACTTCCGTCGAACTTCCCGATGTTAAGCTTACGCTGCGACGCACTTGGCATTCCGTAGCAATTGAGGCCTTAGCACGCTTACACTTGCGGCGGAGCGACCTGTTGAGGCTACGATGAAGCTGCGTACATCGGCGCGCGATGCTGCGGCTGCGGCGGCTCAAGTGACGCAAAGCGCGACGCACCGAGTTCCGCTGCGCGCTGGTACGCGCGCGCCGCTGGCGGCTTCTTTTCCGCATCTCCAAGCGCGTCAATCGTCATCGGCCGGCCGCGCAATTTCGCGCCGAGATTCGATGCCAACATGCCTCTCTCCACAGCTCCGAGCATTCGCTTATCCTCGTCGCGCACCCTCTGAGACGACTCGAGACTCGCCAGGCGGCTGGTGACGTCGGCAAGCGCTGCGAGGATCTTATCGTCGGTAGCTCCGACCCTTTCTTGAGCGGGTGTTTCTTCAACAACTGCGTGAACGTGCGCCGTTGTGGGTGCACGCGCTACACCTCCAGGTAAATTTTGAGTTGTGTCCGTGGTACCTGCCATTGGGCTTATAACCTGTAAAACTGGAAGCACGTGAGGAAGAAGTAGATGATAAGATTCTGTCTATTGCTTGTCATTTCCTGTCTTCTCGCTAGCTATCACTATGCTCCAGTCACTTGCCTCTCACGCTTTCTTCACTTATTCTCAGAAAAAACGTCTGGCGCTAATCTCCCTGACTCTGTCCTATCGTATCACCGTGAAACTGTCATGACCAGAATGCCCTTTTTCCTACACTGTATACATCAGAGCCGAGAGCTCTACATTTTGACACCAAGTGCCGACGTCGAGCGCCATGTGTGTGACGAAAATGATTCTACAGCACACACTTGACCTGAATCATGTACTGTCATGTGGGGACAACCGTTCTGGACTTGATGTGTATGTAAGGAATGTATTACCTAAAAACAAGCGAGTATGTGCGACGGGAATTGTTGTGTCTGATACGGGATGCGGTGGAACGGTTTGGTGTTGAGTACGTTAACACCATTGGCAGTCTTAAGCGTGCCAAAGCATACAAAACTCGCAAAGGATAGGACAAGAAGTCATACTTGTGTCAGAGAGATCAAGACACTCAGAATAGCGCTATATATGCTGTAATGAAACTATAGCTTCCCATCAGGTACTATCTAGTGCTATAAATGCTGTAGTAACAGTAATGGCACAACCTTGGCACTCGTACTTAACAAGTTTATATTGCAAAGCGATATAATTGCTGTGGTGTAAATGCTCCTGACTACTACAGCTCGGATATATGTAGTATATTATCGCATCTGTGTTCGATACGGCTGTGTAAGAAAAGATTGGAAGGAGCGTTCACGTACGCGCGCAAAACATCCGTGCTCGGTAAGTTCGCCGCTTAGTAACCTATTCAAATACACATACAATAAGTGTTGGAAGTCAGGTAAAAAAAACTTATTATGTAAGCGTGCGGACAAATAAAAAGGGACGGGCTATGCCTCTTCTCACCTTTTCACGCACCCTAAGATTAAAAGTCATGATTAAAAAATTCTTTCTTGTAACTCATATAGGCAAGAGCCACCAACACAGGTCTATTGTTTATCTGTAGCTACCTAATGAGGTATCCGACGCTATTTTTATTGCACTTAAGCGATACATGGATATCGAGTAAAGTATTTCCACCCGAAAGATTTTACAGTAGCAGTCAGACCTGCGGATTAACATTTTTACAAACGACTTTATGGGAATAGCAGTGTCACTGGCTGACCTAAGGAATGTAACAGCGTCATTCGTTTCGGTGCAATCGACGTGATACATGCGGCTGCTACTATATTGATTCTCGAGTATGAGCGTACTTGCTCACTGGTACACATTTGACGTAGAGACATGTGTCACGATACTCATCGCTCGTAGCATTCATGTGCCCGTAGCCGATTTGTTCGCAATCATTTCGCTTCTTTGGGGTGCACGAGACAACAGTGAAAAATGTTCGTTGTTTTGGCTCATCGATTGCAGAATGAGATCTTATATTTTGTAGGATGTGTTGTTGTCGTTTATATTGCAAGTTTGTAAATCGGGTCGGCGACATGTGTATCCAAGTCTATTCTGCAGCTAGAACGCATGTGGCAGCTCTTTACAAGAACGAAAAAAATTCGCACGATACTGAAATGAAGCTCCGTCAAATAGCATGAATACCCGAAAGTTCTGGCAAACAAATTCATTTCTCCTGCTGACATTTAACGTTTACGATGCCCGACAACAGGAAGAAAGTTGTACCAAGGAGCATCTCTCCATTTGCGCAGTGTATTGATGACGGGTGACGACCAGAGAACGGGAGGCAACTGCGTAATAACAGCAAGTGAAGTGCATCTCGTTATATAGATCAGGATGTATTAAGGTGGACCGGGTGTGCCCTTAGTAGTCGTAACAGGGCGGATCTGTTCGTGGGCTCTTCCATCGACGGACCGTCAACATGTTGTTTGAATATGGAGTGGCAGGACGCCAATTTATTGTGTACATCTAGATTGGTCCAGCGTTGTCCATCGAGCAAGATGTTTGTGTTGATGACCGTGAGTCAATTCGGTGGACCACACACAACGATGGAAACAGACGTTCAGCAATAGACTTGCAGCCGCGTCTTTTGTCGCCCTGTTCTCGGCTCATTGTTCTCGGTTAGGTCTCTACGGAACCTCTCTTTCAATCGTCTTCAATATTAGGTAATATAAACCACTTTTCCAGAGTAACAGAAGATACGACCGATCGATCGACTACAAGCGCTTCCACAGCCATCGTTTTCTATCTGTTGTCGTCGACTTGATCATATACTGAGCCCAATCGATGCACAGCTCCTTCCTAACTTACATGGAACTTTTGTACAAGCTTCGATGTGTTAGTAGGACGTACGGAAAGATAAGCAAAAGAAACCGTCCGACACGTTGCCAATTTCTGTAGCACAGAGCCACCTACGACCAATTTTCGCGAGCTCTTCCTGCTCCAAAGTCCAACCAGTTTGTCTAAGCCCGAGCTGATTGACTTACAGCTACCACCATGTACCTTGTAGACGTTCTTACTCTTGCCCTAGTCCACTCAGCCTTCTTTGACCTCTCTCTGCACCGAAAGATGTACCTCGATCACCATCACGGCTGGCTAACACCTTCACCTATCTCATCACCTGCTTCCGCAGCGTATACCTTCTGCAATACAAGGTTTTCCACTGCTCAAGCTCCTTTTGCTTTGCATCCGGCTCTTCCTTTCCAGCCAAAAAGTCTGCTTTCAACCAATGCAGAGTCTCCGAGACCTTGTCCAGAATGATCTTCTTGTTGTCAGCGCCTAGTTCCGCGCCAAACATTGCCTTGTTCCTTGAGCACGCAATAAAACGTCAGAATCCATCAGTCCGTAGATGACTCGATTTGCAGCTTGTTGCGTTCGTCTTGGTACTGCACAACTTCGCGTCGTTCGCTTTCCATACGCTTCATCTCAATCCGCGACTTTCGACGATTGTTATCTGCAATCGCAAACTTGTTCAATATGGTCGTCAAGTCCGCACCAACTGAAACGTTCAGAATGCCACTCCTTTCCACATGAAATGCGAAGTCGATTCGAGGCACGCCACATAATTCCGACGAGAACACGTCGAGACTGAACGGTTCCAGAAGATGGGGATAACTTGTCACTGCCTTGTGCTATCTCTTTCAACAAACACTTCAGCTCATGCACCGTGCGAACAAATCCAAAAAAAACAGTAGTGTTGTGCAAAAGTCCAGATACCAGCACCTCATCTGAGACAAGACCACGTCGAGCCAAAAAGATTGGGACCACACAGTATTTGAATGTCAGATTGTACGAAACTGCGCGATTGGTTACGAGACTTTACATTTTAAAAGGAGCCGTTGGTTTTATCTCATTAGGCACACTTTTTCCAAACGGACGACTCATTGTTCATTTGGCGACGCACAAGCGGGGACAAAGGCGCGGCCGACGGAGGCTTCTGCGTTGCCCGTTGTTGGCTCTACCATCTTTGCAGGAAGCGAAATCTGTGGTAATAAGGCTTAAGTGTAGATGTTAATTTATCTGCACGTGATAGGAGAAAAAGTTACTGATTCAATGTTAATTTCTGTGCACGTGACAGTGGAGGGGACGCAGCTGGCGATCAGTAGACTGCACTAATTTTGTGCTGCAGAGACCACACAATTAGGTATGCAGGTACGTCGGTCGACTGACTCTACTATGTATTTGGTTAAACCCTGTGATGTGATGTATCTCGCTGACTATTTGATGCCCGCAACGTGTAAAAGGAAGGTTGTTGTGAAAATCAGACAACACATAATAAGGTGTGTAGGTACGTCGGTCAACTTGCTCTGTAATGTATCTGATTAAACCCTATGATGTGCTGTATTTAACTGTTTGTTTAATGCCCGCAACGTGTAATAGGAAGGTTCATGTGAAAATCAGACATTACATAATAAGGTGCGTAGGTACGTCGGTCGACTTGCTCTGTTATGTATTTGGTCCAACCCTATGATGTGCTGTATCTCTCTGACTATTTAATGACTGCAACGTGTGAAAGGAAGGACATTATGAAGAACGTGAATACCTCGTTTTGACTCTATGCAAGTCGACCATGGAGAGTCAGTGCATTTTCGGTACGTATGAAGTGGTCCTAACGTCGTCGTTACTTGTTTTACCTTCAGGCATCGAATCAAATGGCTGATCAAGCTGCAAAAAATGAGAAGGTAAGTAATCGCGTTATAACTGGCGAGATCAGTGAGCGCTGGGCTGAGCGATGTATTGTGTATGTGAATTTCACATATAGGACGCTTTCTGATTAAAGCAAGCATTCTCCGCAAGTGCAGGTAGAAGCACGTGTTATTGAAGATGCCTTGAGTTTGCATGCTCCATGTTTTCGCCCTTTGTATCCTGTATATGTAAGCAACGAGTGATAACAATATAATAATACATTGCAAGCCTCTTTAGATCAAAGTTATCGCAAGCGTATCGTTGTGTATATTCTTTTAAAGCTATACACAGCACATTCAATTAAGTATATAGGCAATCGATCCACGCGTGTGGCATTCGAATGAAGTTGTGTCTAATATCACTGTATTCGTCACGAAAAATGACGCCGGATTCACTGATTTTATCGGGACACTTAAATCAATAGACTTTGCTTCAAAATGCTTGTTATTTTGTTCCATAGAAGTCGCATGGCGCCAACATGTCATCTTGCTATGCCCCGCTTAAACGCAATAGTGGCATTTGTAAGTAGCTCCAGACTTCGAATCGTCAGAGCTGCTAATACGCCTTCATCGTCGTCGTCCATTGTTTTTGGAAATACGGTGGTGGATTTATCATCACTAAAGGTGTTCTTGCGCTGACAACCAATTCAATTGACCTTTCCAGAAACCCTTGCTCATAAGTTTCCACCAGGTACGCTGGATAAAATGCTACCGTTATGTCGATTGTAGACTCATTAGCATGCAATAAGGCGACAATCTGACGGCAAGGTAGCATCAATTGCATGCAAGTTGAACATGAGCAGCTTCGAGCTTCAACATCAATGCGCCGATTTATTGCGTAGCCTTGTTTCGAGGCAAACCATATAGTAGATTAAGAAGACCGCGCGACTTCATATCCACCCGCAGTTGCTTATTTCTTCTTCCAAAGAGACCGCGCACGAGGAGTTAGAGTAAGTTTATCAGCTGACCACTTTTTCATTTTATCTTGACGCATACAAACATTTTCCATAGTCACCCGCGCTAAAAATTTTATTGCCTATAGAGGCGCAGCATCACGAATACCATGTACAAGCATAGAATTATTTTCACTTTCAACAAAGCTAGTGGTGCGCCACCCGAAAAGATAGAATGATATCATTGGCAATGCAAGATTGTCTTGTTTATTCGTGCTTGAGGCCGGATTTGTGCTCGGCGTCGTTGAATTTTGACAGATAAATTTTTATCGATAATGTCCACTTGCATATTCGCAAACACAGTCCAATAAATGGGATCAATATCCCCAATGCATGCAGCAACCTCATCTCCAAACTTTGTTCGTACCGCCGTAACAGCAGCGTTTTAGTCAAACTCGGACTCTACCGATTGAACTTTCCACACGGAATTCTCAAAGTCAGAACCAGAATATCCAAAATTTCGTATAATATTGCGCAAAATGTGCAAGGCACAGAATAAAATCTGGAAGCTGATAACTGTAATTGCGTACACTTGTTTACGGCATCTTGTATCTTCTCACGATCACACATTATCGCGACATTCACTAAATGTATTCCAGCATTAACACAACGAATATAAAACCATGAAATGTTGTCCTAGTTCTCCACATTCACAAAGGCAGTGGCTAACTTAAAGTTTTCTCCATTTCCGTCTTGGCCAATTAGACAAATTATCACGCCATTATATTTGTAATGGCGCGTATGCGTTCCATCGAAGTCAACCACGGGAATATTATAACTGTGACTGCCAGCAGACGCTCCAAATGTCACAAACAAACGGAAAATCGATTATCTTGGTCTACTTCGAGTGACACAGTGCTGGATCGGTTCACGCGCTTTAATTCAATCAAATGTGGATCTAGATGATCAAAAGAAGATTTCCATTCGCCTTGTATCTCTTCAATAACTATTCTTGAGCTTCGTAGGTCTTGGTTCGAATTTTTTTGGGTTTGTTCCATCACGGACGCGGACTAGCGCCACAATTGCCTTGTGCTTGATGCCCTTGTCACTTCGAACCGCAGCATTAATAGTTGGAAGAAGTTTAATTTGCCGTTCTAAAGGCATAACAGTCGCGAGGCATACATCCAAGTGAATATCGTTCAGCGTCGATATGTAGTGCTCAGAAGGTGCACTTCAACGGGGTGAGCCCGTTACATTAAAATTGATATGTTTGTATCAATTTTGAGCATTATCTATTTAGATAATGCTCAATTGACATTGCTCGTAAGCAGTAAGGTTGAAGGAATATTACCCTCGAGGTTAATATTTCTTTGATCGGTTGCTCCACCTGATAGTTGATGTTCACAGTACATCAACCAGAATAAATACCAACTGCTGCTGGACGCACGCAACGGTGTTGAGCAAGAAACCCACATAGTAGATTGTAGTTTAATATGGTTAGCTCAAGACAAAAGATGCTTTATTTAGAAAACATAACTATATGAAATACAGTTCTGCTTGTTCCCTCAGACAGAACTTTCGAGTTCTGCCTACTTCGCTGCGCTTCCTCGCGCCACGTGTACTGACGTCGGGTGCACGCAACCTTGTGTTGAATTGACACAAGGCGTGCCCTATCACATTTGGGAGACAAGTCGATCCACCGACTCTAGCAATATCGTTCATTGGAGCCATCAATAATTTCTACTCGCGCAAAACTTTACAGCCGAGCTTCGTTGCCTTGCAATCGAAACAGGCGCACAGATCATCGATTTTCGAATGCGAAATGGTCGCGTTGGGAACGATGCCGTCACAAGCGGATCGATCAAAATGTGCGCTTGCGCACAAGTAAGCAAGAACCACTTGGCTCGCTTACATGACGTGCAAAGACGACGCAGGGCTTTATAATTCGACGTCATGCCTTTGCGGTGCTCTACGCTGCATCGAGCGACAAAACGATCCACATAGCGGTTGTCAGAGCTCCTTTACCGCACAAGTGCGTGTCACCAGCAATAGCTCAGCTCACAGATGCCATCCTCAATACGCATCAGCGACACTCCGCAGTTCCATTACCTCGATCAAAGATGAGCACGTGGTGCTCGCCGCTCTTTGTGTCCTGGCCACAGTTCATCGTAGTAGCCGTCAGCTCCTGATAACACGCAGTATGTCAAATCCAGCAATGGCTTCGGAAGCTCTGGTTGCCTGACGCTGCGATTTGCCGAAGTGTGGAGGAACTATCACAACAGCATTCCTTACCCGCCTTACCAATGTTGGCTTCTGTGGTTCCGTTGCATCTTGGCCAGCACCATGGACGATGATTTCTCGCTCGATCGGAACGTCTTGGTCATGCCCTTATTCGCACGACCACCTGCAATTCATTCACGAGACCTATGCTGGCGCTTCAGTCTACCGTGCAACTGGTCTCAATCTGTGTCAATGTCTTCTCTCTGTCGACGGCGTGGGGACTACGCAATTGCAGTCACTTGCGCACCGAACCAAGGAGCGTCTCAATGAAAGCTGCCGTCTCTGACGAAACCCACACACAGCTGCCCGCGCCTGTCAAATCCGATCTCCAGCTTGCCTTCGCCATACTGTATGTGCATCAAGTCACTCGTATTTACTTCGCACACTCTCTCACAAATGTTTGACGGCGAGTTGCTGCACGTTTGCTGAAACGGGGCACCGACGACTACGTACAAGTCAACCAGTACGGAGTTTACTATCACTGACTGTAGTGATAGTCAGTGCCCAGCTAGGTGTGGAACTACACAGAGGAAGATAGAACAACTAAAGCGAAAGACTCTGGTCGTA